GCGCAGGGGCGGGGGCGGGGGCAGGGGGTGGGCAGGGCAGAGGACCTGCTTTTCTTCTTCTCTGGGGCTCGTGGGATGTTCCTGTCCTCTGCCTACCTTTCCAGCCTCTGTTTTCTGCTTCTCTCCATCCCTTCCTTCCCTCCCCCTGCCCCGCACTGTCCCTCTGCTCCTCCTCTCCTCCTGGCTGTTGGCTGCAGAGCTGTGCTGCCTTCAGAGACACCTTGTGTCACTTGTACAGGGGCCGCTTGGTTACTTCCTGGGATCCTCACTGTGGGTTTGAAGCTGGGGTCTCTGCTTAGACCCAGCCCGGGTCATTCTTGCCAAGGACGTTAAGGACATCTCAGCTTGGTGATGGAAGCAGGTGTCTCTAAGGCCTGGGGAGAGGGCATAGCTGCTGATATAGCCCTTCGTGGACCCTATGGATCGTGGGCGGGGGCTAACCTTCCATGTCGCCAAAGTGGGAAAGGGTGGCCTTCAGCCCACACAGCGGTGGTGGGGGTGGGGAGCAGGGCCCCGAGGAGGCCTCCAGAGAGTCTCGCCCTGGTCTGCATCCAACTCTCAGGCTTGGAAACGAGGAGCTCATTCCGCCAGTGCCCCGGCTCTGTCCCCAGTCCCCACCCCTGCATCCTTCATGTTCCTTCTCTTTCAAAACACATTTGACTCCTGCCTTCCCTGCTGAATCCATTGCCAGCTTCCTGTTGCGTCTGGGCACAGCCTCTCCATGGCCTGGCTCACAAGGCTTCTGGAGATCTGGTCTACTTCCTGTCCCCCGGCTCCCTCTCAGCTCTCACACCTGTGCCTGAACCCTGAGGTCCCCTGCATGGTCATGCTTCCTGTTTCTTTGTCTGGCAGCAGGTGTGGGATCGGCTGTCCCAGAGCCCTGGCCTCTCCTCCCTCCCAGGCGTGTAATTGTCGCATTTGGTCTCTCCCCCAGTACGCACAAGCGTCCTTGACCTGTGGTCTAGCGCCTGGCGTGTGACAGTCGCTCAGGGCATCCTTGTGGAATGAACAGGCGGGATTCCTGAGCGGAGGTGTTCGAAGCCTCTGCGTGGTGGCAGGGACGCTGCAGGAGGGTTTTTGTGTTTCATAGAGCTCGAGTTAGATCATTCCGTGAGGCCCTTTCCATGCGGGGCCCGGTTGATCCTGGGCGGAGTTCAGGCACTTGTGGAACTGTGTGGGTCGCCTTTGTTGTCCGTGCTAACGCGCCGGAGACGACAGTTACCAGGAGAGGCCGTGCTTTGTGCTAACAGCATCTGCTTCCAGTATTTTCTCCCAGGACCTTCCTGGGGAGACGCAGAACGCGTTTAACGAGCTGTCCCTGAATGCCGACGCTCGCATTTGTCACTTGTGCTGATGTCACTGTCACCTTGCCTTTCGTTTCCTCCCGCTCTGATGACCAGCTCTCCAGTGACGATGCGGTGAAACGAGTGTTGGCTGGAGAGAGGGGGGACGCGAAGGCAAGGCCCTCCCTGACGTCCAAGTCTCAGGAATTGGACAGCAGGAATGCGCGAGAGGAAGGGCCCGGAGTTCGTGAAGATAAAGAGGTGAATTGCAAGTTGCGCATATCCGGAAGGGAGATAATGAGTCTTTTTGTAGCCCAGGTAAAGGTGTTTATAAGTGATGCTGTTATTTTGACCTTTTCTTCAGGATAAAAGATATTCTGAGATAAATGAGGAAAGTGCGAGGAGAGACCAGAAACAGAGGGAAGAAGTGAAAGAAGAAAGCAAAGCACAAGACAAGGACAAGGACAAGACGATGGAGAACGACCGTGAGAGACACAAGGAGCCGGAGAGGGACAAGTACCGAGAAGGAGAGAGAGAGCGAGCCAGGAACCGGGCCAAGCAGGACAGGGACAGAGGCACCCGAGAGCGGGACAAGGACATGGAGCGCGAGAGAGAGCGACGGAGTGAGGCCGGGAAGGAGAAGGAGAGACGGAAGGAGCGAGAGCGAGAGCGGGAGCGAGACAAGGGCCGGGACAGGGACCGCGACAGGCGGAGGGGCAAGGACGGGGACCTCTCCAGGAACCCCGACAGGGAGAAGAGCAGAGAGCACGACAAACCGGAGAGGAAGGTAAAGTCCTGGTTGCGGCCCTCTGCCTTTAACCTGCAGTGATTTCTGTCGTCGTCGTGGCACGATTAGGAAACCGCTTCTCTCCAGCACCACCTACGGCAGGCTCGGGTTCCCAGGGGAACCCCACACCGACCCCAGGCGTTGCCAGGTGTTTCACGAGGTGCTCCCCTCACCTCTGCACTGTGGGCGTGCACGTGGGCGTTTGGGAAGACGGAGCTTCACGCCGTCGCTGTGCGCGCAGTTCCTACGTGTGCCTCAGCCGTGTGCAGGCTCTTACGCACCGCCTGGCTTGTGGGCACGGCTGACTTCTGGCAGGGTTAGGGCCACGCTCTAAGTCCTGTGCGCATTAGTGGAGGAGCACAAGACCTCTGATTGCTGTAATTCTCGTTTGATTAAGTTTTCAGGTACATTTACGACAGGCCAGAAAATTTATTTGGTTTCAGACGGTGTTTTCTAAACGTGCAGGTGACTTTTGGGCTCATAGAGGTGGGGAGGCCTCCGTCAGGACTGGCTTTGCAGGTGCCTGTTCTCACGGGGACACTTTGGCGTCCCAGAGGCGGAATGTGGAGATCTGCTGGTTTCCAGCTACTAGGAAGGAGGGGCCAAGGTCTGGAAAGGTTCAGGGTCTGCCCAGGTGAGGTGGTTGGGTAGTGAGGAGCAGGGCCAGTGCTGGCACTCGGGGTTGTGCCTCCCGGCCCTGTGGCATCTCTGGGATGTACTGTACTGGGCGATGACGGGCCCAGTGGGCATGACCCTGGGGGAGCCTCAGGGTCTCCCAGGAGCCCCCTGGAGTGATGGGCCCTGTGATATGTGTCCTGAAAACCAGGCTTCCCTTAGAGAAAGGCTTTAGAAATAACAAAGGCTTTCCGCACCTTTGGCCTCTTTTTAGAGGTCTAAGAAAAAGTATTTTTCACTGACCTCATTTTTCTGAGGCGCTAGCACGTTCTCTCGTTTTTTTCTGTGCCCGAGTTGGGCAGCCCCCGGAACGGGATGACCTTCTCAGCTGTCCAGGTCTTATGAAGTTTCCCATACGGTACGTTCACTGAAACTGCTGATGCTGTGACCGGTGTTATAAATAGAAAGCTAATTCCAAAGACGAGTTTTTATAGGCGGGTCTGTGGGACACTGGAGCCTGGTGGGAGTGATGGCTTGACTTCGTGGGTGAGACCAGGGCGAGGGGCCTGTGCTGCTGCTGCCTTTTTTTTTTTTTTTTT